GCCAATCTAATAAATCTGCTTTAATGAGGTATCTAGAAGAACAGAGTCCTAATTTGCCTCTCTGGCCGTTGCTTGCTAAGAGAAACACATCAAAAACCATGACTTGGATAGACACCCCATGAGAGGGACTGGGAGGACAGCCGGAGAGTAGGGACGGCAGGCTGCTGTGACAGATTCCACAGATGCCTGAGGGCCCGACACTTGGAGGGCACTATTTTCCACCCTTTTGTCTAATTTTTAAACTTGCAGGCTTAAGAATCTGACAGTCTGGCTTTTCGTGTGGCCTTGGAACTCCTACTTCATCTGACAGTTCTTCATCCGTGAAGCGTAAATAATACCTACTACACCTATATCAGGAGACCGTGAGAATAATTAAGTGTGAATGACTAAGAAGTCAGCAAACTACAGGACGCCTCCTTTTGGTAAAGAACTTTACTGGCAGACAGCCACACCCACTCACTGCCCTGGCTGCCTGGGATGCTACAGCACAGTAAACAAGATCCTAACTATTCACGACTTGCACCTCCGCAGGAAAAAGCAATAATGCCCCAGACAGGAAGCAGTAAGAAAGTGAGCAAAATAATTGCTCTCCCGTGGTGGTTTGAGTAGGTATGGCCTCACAGGCTTTTCTGTTGGAATGCCCTGTCATCTGGAAGTGGCACTATTTGAGGATCAGAAGGTGACTCTCAACCTTCCTAATGCTAAGACCTTTAATACAGTTCCTCATGTTACGGTGACCCCCCCCACAACCATAAAATTATCTTCATTGCTACTTCATAACTGGAATTTTGCTACTGTTATGAATCATGATGTAAATATCTGATATTTCTGATGGTCTTAGGCAACCCCTGTAAAAGGGTCATTCAAAAACCAAAGGGGTAAAGACCCACAGGGATTGCAAGGATTAGGAGGCGTGGCCTTCTTGGAGGAAGTGCGTCACTAGGGTTGGGCTTAGAGGTTTCAAAAACCCATGCCAGACTCAATCTCTCTGCCAGGGGATCAGGATGTAGTTCTCGGATACTGCTTGAGAGCCATGTTCCTGCCCTGATGATAATGTACCAAACTTCTGGAACTGTAAGGCAGCCCCCAATTAAATTCTTCCTAGAGTCGCCTCTGCCATGGTGTCTTCACAGAGACACACCAGTGACTAAGACGCTTTCAGAATGATAAATGTGAGCCTGTACACAGGATAGAGACAGAAGTAGCAACTGCAGTGGAGGTAATTTATTTTTAATAGTGATGATGATGCAAACCTTTTTTTTTTAAAAAAATTATTTATTTATTGCATTTACAGTGTTCTGCCTGCATTTATGCTTGCCCACCAGAGGAGGACACCAGATTTCATTATAGTTGGTTGGGAGCTACCAAGTTGTTCCTGGGAATTGAACTCACGACCTTTGGAAGAGCAGTCAGTGCTCTTAACCTCTGAGCCATCTCTCAAGCCCAGGATAAATGTTAAAATACAATGTCAGACTGGGAAGTGGTGGTGCACACCCTTGGGCGGCAGAGGAAGGCAGATCTTTGTTGAGTTTGAAACCCACAGTGTGAGGGGCTGGAGATCTGTCTCCGTGATTAGAGTGCTGGCCACTCTTCCCAGAGGACCCAGGTTCAATTCCCAGCATCCACATGGCAGCTCATAATCACAGTAACTCCTGTTCCAGGGGATCCAATTCCCTCTTCTGGCATCAGGTGCATACACGGTATGCAGACATTCATGTTGGCAAAATACCCATACATATAAATAAATAACTTTAAAAAACAACATCACTGAGAGAAGACATAGAAGACTGATCAAATCCATTATAACACAAACACACTAAAGAAAAGTCAGTGGCCGTGGCACTCCTAATACCCTATCATGTAATTAATATCCATACCTATTTCCATTCGTGCAATTACACGCTGATGCCGTGATGCAATTGCGTAGATACACGCTAGAACACATCAATGTCATGCAACAACACGTGACGATATTATACAATCAACAGAAGGTACGGTTGGACTCTTGGTATAGAGCAACATTTAAGGATTGCCAAGACCGTTAAACAAATGAGCATAATTAAGGGAAAACGTGTAACACATGAAATATGATTTATGTTTTTAAAAAAGTCCCATTTAAACAAGTAAAGCTAAAGACAGAGTGGAATGCCGCTTTCAGAACACATGCAGTTCTATACAATCTAAAAATATTATTGGGATGGAGTTTGTAAATTTTATCAACTTTAAGAACTGCTATTTCAGGCTAGGTTATAACTTATTTCTGCGATCTCAGAGGCTGGGGTAGAGGCAGAGTGGTGCACACACCTGCAATCCCAGCATTCAGGAGAATCAGGAGTTCAAGCCCCACGTGGATTTCATGACCCCTTCCTCCACCTCCACACAAAAAGGCTATGGTAGAAGGACCATGAGGTCGAAGCTGACTGGGCCGCATAATAAAACCCTTTCTCAAATGGGGGAGGGGGCTGGAGAAATGTGGAGAAATGGCTCGGAAGTTAAGAGCTCTCCAAGAGGACCTGGGTTCAGTTCCTGGCACCCACAGGGCAGCTCCTAACAGCCTGTGATTCCTGTTCCAAGAGATCCACTGCCCTCTTTTGGCCTCCACAGGCTCCTGCATGAATGCAGTGCACACAAACTCATGCAGCCAGCAACAAACGCGCCCACGTCAAATATGTAAATAGAGCTTTCTGAAAAAGATGAAATAGAGATCCCCTTTCAGTCTTTCCTCCAGATTGTATCCAGAACTACATTTTTTTTTTTTAACTTTTAAAGAAGCACTTGTTTATTAATTGTGTACGGGGAGGTGAGTGCGGGCACAAACCGCCGTGTCCTTGTGGCGGTCAGAGGACGACTCGCAGGATTTGCTCCTCTCTTTCCACCATGGGTCGTGTGTGACTCAGGCGAGCAGCGAGCGTTCACATGCACCAAGCCATCTCACCTTCCCAAGGCTCTACCTTCCAAAGCACAGACTTTACTTCTTTTAGACAGAGTTGAGTAGGTTTTTTTTTTTTATAACACAGTATTCCATACACTATCGTGCGTTTTCACTTAATGGTGTCCAGTTGATAAAAGACCATGGGGGCCCTTAAATGTAGCCAACTCCCCCATTACCCCCACCTCCATACTTTCTACTGATAGCACAGTCTCATCTCAAATGCAGACTCAAAGATGACCACAGCACGTTCTGGAGAAAGCAAGGCAGAACTATGAAAAGACCACTGGGGGCAATAGTTGATGGTAGGAAAATGCTAACTACAAGAAGCAAAGCAAGGAAACATGTGAGGTGATAGGAGCTAGTTTTACATCCTGGTTACAGGAGCAGCCAACACTCCAAAGCATGAATTTTACTATACGTAAAGTTAAAAAACACACTTAGGTGCCAGGGAGATGCACAGCCGATAACCATCTGCCACACAAAATGTACAGGGGGTTCAGATCTCCAGAACACACAGAAACGCCAATGGGCATGGCAACCTCCCTGGAGCCCCAGTGCTTAGAAGGTGGAGCAGGGCATCTCCAGAGCAAGCTGGCTAGCAAGACTAGTTCAATCAGTGAACTCTGGGTTCAGCAGAGAGACCTTGTATCAAAGAATAAGGTCGAAAACAATAAAGGGAAACTCCAAATCAGTCTTGAGCCTCTACATGCTCATGCAAACACACTCACACACCTGTGCACCCACGTATGAGAACACACATACCACATATACACACATTCAATGCTTAAAAAAAAAACTTAAATACACCCTTCCTCAAATACACAAATCCCTAGTGGATGTACTTTCTTAGGGGGACTTTTCAACTGCACCATTTAGCCAATGTTCCTGCTGTTGGGGAAGAAGGCAACAGAGAATCCCACAACAATCCTACTGAATTCTTCTTACGATACACGCCTGCAGCGGCTTACATTTATTTAAAAACTGGATTATTTCTTTGAGGTCCTGGCCTGTAGATCCAGGCTTTTGATTAAGGACCACTAGCATCCTCGGGACCAGGCAAGAGCAGGTATTCGCGCGTTCCACCGGTTTGGTGTGCTTCAACTTCCAACCAATTGAACTTGGCCAAGGTCTAGGAGCAAATTCCCCAACTTGGCAAGCACTGATCTCGGTTACCGTACCCGAGTAGCACTGCTGCTTCCAACGAGAATCACTTAAGCAATCTTAGCAGACAACCGCGAGCAAAGTCACCGGGCTCGCCTTGTACCGTCCCACGTAGCTAACTCGGCGGATGATGTCCTGATGCTTCCCTCTGCCTACCCCCAGCCCTTAAACCCCAACTGCAAATCTCTTCCCTTTTTCTCAAACTCACGAAACGTTGCGAATTAAGCAGACGCATGAGGCTTAAAGTATAAAATTCGGTATGAACGTGCCGCGGCGCACCACGGCTCCTCAAAATCCAGTTTCCTTAACAAAGCCCAAAATGCCCCTCTCTCCTAGAATCGGAGAACGATTGCCCGGGACTACAGTCTCCTTCCTTTCCTCTGAGGGCAAGAACCATGGTGGACTCGGGTTTGTTTTCTCACTTTAGTACAACATTAGCGATCCGTCTGCTTCTTACTTTTCAACAGTAAAACACCAAACATTAACGCTGCCTTCTTCCTCTTCGGAGCTAAGCCTCGTGCCGGAAGCGCGAGGTCTGGGATCCTCCCGGATCCGAGGATCCAGGGGTGAGTCCGGGTGGGGGTTCGGGAGTTCGGGGGTTCGGGATTTGGGGGCTGAGCCTCCGGAGTTGCGCACAGCCAGGAGAATGGGCAATCAGCACTGGGGAGCCCGCGGCCCGGGGATTCTGGAATGTGACTCCGGGGAGAGAGAGCGAGCCCTGGAGACGCCGAGCTGGGCCGGGAGTCCTCAGCTCGGGAGCCGGCGTGCAGTGACCCGGAGACTCCAGGGCCCTGGAGGCAATCCCGGGAGGCCGGGCGGTCCCGGAGGCTGCACCGAGGGCTCCTGCAGGCTCGCCCCACTGGGTTGGGAGGGAAGCAGGACCCCGCGGCCCGTCGACAGCCCTTACCTGGTCTGCGCCGCCTTCGCTCGTCCAGGGCGGGCCCGGGGAGCTCTCCTACCCCCAGTGAGTCACTGGGGCGGGTCGGGAATGCACCAGGAAACACCCGGCCTCCTCCCCTTCCTCCGGGGCGGTGCTCCGCGGCTCGGCCTCTTCCTCCCGGCGCTCCTCCCTCCGCCCGTTGGCCGCCTTGGGTCCCGAGCCTCCGGTTCGGCCCTTTCGGCTCCGGTCGGTACCCCCCTCCCCGCCCCCGAGCCTCCAGCGTCGGAGCCCCGCCTGCCGCTCAGCTCACCGCTGCAAAGGAAGCCGGGATTTGCGGGGTGGGCTCCACCCGTCGAGCGGGTGGGTTGATCTCCAGGCTGGGAGAGGATGCAGGCAGAGCTCCATCCTGCCAGGCTCACCAGCCTCAGAGTTATCCTTGATTTGGGGGAACCTCTGCTCAGACTGAGGCTGGATGAGGAAAAGAATTCCACTTTATGAAGAGTCAGAATTGGGAATTCCACTAAACGAATATTTTAAAAGAAAGATTCGTGAATTTTTATGTGTACGAATGTTTGGCTTGCTTGTATGTTTGTGCACCGCGTGAGTGCCTGGTGCCGGCCAAGGTCCGAAGAGAGTGTTGAATCCTTCTGGGACTGGAATTAGGGATGGGTGCGAGCCTGTGAGCCGATACATGGGTTCTGCGAGTCGAACCTCCGTTTTCTGCAAGAACAACCGTGTTTAATTTTACTATAACTCCGTGCTGGTGAGAAGCTTCAGTAAATATCTTCCTCCGCATGCCCCCCAGATTGCCACTGTCTCCAGTTGAACTTCAGAAGAGACGCAGGAGGTACAAACATGACATAGAAGGGGCACGTGCACGCACAAAATGGTGGGAGCAAGGCTGGGCGAGTTTGTCCATGCTACTTGACCCAGGTGAAAAATAACCCACCCTGGCCCCTCAAGTAACAGTGCTGGCATTGCATCTGCTCCCTGGGCACTGACAAACACAAGTTCAGACACTGGATATAGCTGGCAAAAGAAAACCTGACTTGAGCTTGTCCGTCCCCCGCCAAAAAAGTTAAGAGACAGGCTAAGTAACATACACCATAATGCTGAATTTAGCAGAATAATTGCTCCAAACTTTCTACCCTTCTTCACTCGCGACGACCCTCCTCCATACTGTCAAACCCCAACGACAGGCTCTGCTGTAACCCAGGCTAGCCTTGAACTCGTGATCTTCCTGCTACCGCCCCTCCAGTGCCAAAATGACAGGCACGCACCATCAAGCCCAACCCCCATACAATCTTTTCTCCCCTCAGCTTAAAAGAAACAAATCTTTATTAAGAAACTTTTAATATCAGCATAAAACTCATGTAATTCTATGTACAGCAAATACATATCAGTGCTTTGACCACCTTAGGTGAACAGCCCTTTATTGTAAAATGTGTGGTGTTAAACGTAGTTAAATGTGTAATTCTTAGAACTTCTCCACATATACATAACATAATAAAATTAACAAAAACTAAACTATAATGTTATTATATAATTATATAATGATATTACAACAAATGTAATATGTTGATTCCTTTACTTATTATAGTGTACAGTGCAACAAAATACAAATCACAGTATTGATGACATTTCTCCACTTCTATAGGACTGTAACCTAGAGATTAGGTTTCAGTCCTGGCATTTAACTATTTAACTATCCAAAGCAATTCACATTATATCATACGCCATCAAGGCAACTTTTTGAGACAGGGTTTTTCAGCCGCTATGGAACCTGTCCTGGAACTCACTCTGTAGACCAGGCTAACCTTGAACTCACAGAGATCCTCCTGCCTCTGCCTCCCAAGTGCTGGGATCAAAGGTGTGCACCACCACCGCCCAGTCATTTGTGAACTTTTATATGAACTGGAACTCTTCAAGTGGAAACAAATTAAAATTTGTCTATTTACTGTTGAATACACATGAGATTTCAATCTTTGTCATGACGAGAAAAAAAAAGATCTTTTGTTGGGAAAACAGTGCTTCAAAGAATAACTAGTAGGAAACCCAGCAATATGCTTTGCTGTTTCAATACCAGCAGATATGAAAACACGCTGAAAGAAAGTCACACGCTCACAGATAAAATGTACAAGTGTATTTTAAAGAAATTTTTGCTTGTGATTAAAAATAGATTTCGAATGATAAAAATTGATTAGAGGTTGTCCCAGCTGCTTCCATGATTTGTGAGCCTATATTACTAAAAAATAAAAAAATATATTTACAATGCACAAGATAAATATAGATGGAATATAAGGTATTTCACATTTTGATCTGTTCACATCCTCAATTTTCAGGCAATAAAGGTGCATCCGACGCTCATCCTGGGAAAACCCCGGTGGCCATTTCCACATTCACTCAGGCAGACAATGAGTAGGAACTCACAATCAAGACAATGGTATTTCTGATTACACGAGCCTTGAGTAAATTCTCCAAAGGAGGACGGTCTGTGTAGCAGCTTTTGTCCCATTATAACCAGTGACCCGTAAACGGACGTGAGCCCCATTATTGCCCACTAGTAATCAGAATGTCTTTAAAAAAAAATCAGTTGCCATCCTGCAGAATTAGGCGTGGTTGTCGCAATATAAAAACCAAACAAGCCTGCATTGTCAAGGCTGGCGCCATTAAAAAGGACAGCCCTGGAGGTTAGTCATCTCTAATGTCAGGTGCCCTCCATCAACTCTTGATGTATCTAGACTCTGAGACCCATTTCCACAATCTCAGGCTATACATTTGGCTTGTAGGTCACTGTCTTGGCATTTTTTTTTTAATTTGATCACCTTGACACAAGCTAGGGTCATCTGGTAAGAGGGAACCTTAATGATAAAATGCCTTCATCAGACATGTCCATGGGGCATTTTCTTGAGTAGCGCTTCGTGGGGAGAGCCCAGTCCATTATGGGTGGTTTCACCCCGGGCTGGTGGTCCTGGACACTCTAAGAAAGCAGGCCAAGCAAGCCATGAAGAGCAAGAGAGTAGGTTGAGTTATTCCAGTCTCTAGTTCAGGTTCCTGCCTTCACTCCCGTTAATGGACTATGATATGAAAGCCAACTAAGCCCATTCCTCTCCCAAGTTGCTTTTGATCATGTTTTATAAGAAAATGTGGGGTAATGGTGGCGCACACCTTTAATCCAAGCCCTCCGGAGGCAGGGGCAGGCAGACCTCTGTGAGTTCAAGGCTAGCCTGGTCTACAAGAGCTACACAAAGAATAATAATGTTACAATGAGATAATGTTACACAAAGAAACATTATCTCAGAAAAAAAATAATGAAGATAGTCACATAACCTATGGTCTTCACTTAGCCAAGTAGAATTCCACTTTCAGCAATTCTTCCACAAGCCATGCAGGAGTCTGCAGGGTGGTGTGAATAATTCAGATCAAGCTAATAGACGAGAGACCACTTAGCTGTAAGGAGCAGCAAGAAGCCCTTAGTAAAGATGGAGCGGTGCATACAGAAACTAGAAATGATGGTTTATTGTAGACGGAGGCTGTACTTTAGTTTCCTGGCCATCCAGATGCGAATGATGACACAGAAACTATACAAAGTAAAACACTCTTTGGCCAATGGCTCAAGCATATTCCTTGCTAGCTCTTATATCTTAAACTAACCCATTTCTATTCATCTGTGTATCACCATGAGGTTGTGCCTTACTGGGAAAGTTCTAGCGTCCTTCTCCTTCAGCAGCTACATGATGTCTCCCTGACTCTGCCCTCTTCCTCTCTATACTCTGCCAATCCATTGGCCAAAGCAGCTTTATTCATCAACCAATAAAAGCAACACTTATACAGAAGGCCATCCCATATCAGTTTATTCTTCCAGAATGTTTGCCGCCTGAGACTGCCGGCCTACAGGGATCTGTGGAAGACTAGCCAACCATTGTGTGGCAGACTTCTCCTGGGGAGACACACACAACACACATCTACTCTCCTTGGTTAGGCAGCCCACAACAGGCCAAAGTATCAACACCACCACAGTCCAGCTTTGTGAGCCAAGGAATTTTATTGAGGTCACTCACGGGAATATGGGTAACTAGTCATTATGGGAGCAGAAATGACTCAAAGACATCTGAGACCAACAAAGCCCACCCCAGCGTGAGTGACTGCTCACAAAAGTCGGGATCTAGTGTACACTCCACAGCCAAGCACCCTGTTCAACAGACTGGAGAGACTCCTTCCCACGTGACATAGTTGATTCAAACTTCTTCCAGGTAGCTCAGCTGCCTTCTGCTTCTTTCAGGAAGCTGGTGGTCTCTCGGAGTCTTTGCAGCTCCACTTGCCTGAGAGTGACTCTCCATTAGCCTTTCTTGTTTCCTCTCGGGAGGGAGGGCCTACAGAATCTTGTCAGCCTCAGGGGCTTCCTGGTGCTGTTTTGAGTTGTCTGCCTTCTGTCTTAGCAAGTTTCCCCGGTAAGATGGAATGTTTCTATCTCGAAGTTAAACTGCTACACCACACCAGCGACTCCCCCTGGGCTGTACAGAATAAACTCACCAAGGTTCCCAGGCACAGCAGTAGTAGGTATAGCCATCAGTGTGCACAACCCAGCTGAGCCCAGCTCTTCTGTGCATATATCTGGGTGTCTGTCCTTCATTCCCTCACCACCCCTAGTCCGTGTTCCAGACCCAAGCTGCATCATTTGAGGCACGACGATTTAGTGTTACTTAAGTCTTAGTCACGTGTCCCTTAGCTGCTGTGAAGGGACACAATGACCAAGGCAACTTACACAAAGAGTTTATTAGGGGCTTGATTTCAGTTTCAGAGAGTTGGCCCACAGTGGGGAGCATGGCAGTAGACAGGCAGGTATGACATTGGAGCAGAAGCTTATAGCTTGTCTGCAAGAATGGAATGGGGTGGAGGTGGGGTTATCACCAGTGACACAGCTCCTCCAACAAGGCCACACCTCCTAATCCTCCCCAGACACTTCTACCACCTGGGGACCGAGCATTCCAATATATAAGCCTGTGGGGCCATGATGGCTGTTCTTGGTTGTCAGCTTCAGCACATCTGGAATTAACTAGAACCAAACGGCCGGACCCACCTGTGAGGGAGTTTTTCCTCAAGTAAATCGTTTGAAGTGGGAAGACTCTCTTCTCTTTCTTTTTCC